TAAGGGCCAATGGAAATGATGTCTTACCCCTTTAATTTAACTCATAGTGCCAGTTGATGTCTTTATCCACTCCAAATTGTATGGGTTAGGATGTTTCTCAGTAGGCAAACCCAAGCTCTTCATTGTTGCTTTCTCTGCAATATTTATGCAACTCCCAACATTTATAATAACACCAAATATTTTGTTATTGATAGCGCACCTTATTTGAAGGGGTTGGTCTTGTTGGGTTTGGTCCTCTTGCTTTGGAGCTAGCATCCTCCTCCTCACTACATTATTTTTCCCTTCATCAAGCTCTTCTTCATATTCATCTCATTTCCTTTGGCTTCACAGCAAATTTCTGGCTCATCTTCATCTCTTGCCATCACATTCACTATCTTCCTCTATGAGCAATCACTAGATCAGTGGCCCTATTGATTACACTTGAAGCACTTTCCAAGGATTCGTCTAGCATATGGATTGGCTACCTTTGATGTCTCCTTCTCTTTTGCTTCATTCATGAGACGCTTTCCCACGGATTTTTCTTCTTGGGATTGACTCATTGAAATGATTATTCTTGAACTAGAGATTTGTTAGAGTCAAAAACTCTTTTACCTCTTTCCTGTTGCATCATCTCTGTCTTCATACCCATGTTTGACTTCAAGATAGGGTCTTTAATACGTGGACTTCAATATGATCTTTAATTGCGAGCTTCAATCCCACTAAATCTATAGCAACTTGTTGTCCTTTGGATTCATGAAGATTATTTCTTTTGTCTAATCTCATGAATTTGGATGTGGACTGTTTGATTGCGTTGTTGACACCTAAGGTGTTGTGCTCAAAATCAGCGGTAGAAATTCCTAGCACAATAAATACTTCATTTTTTACCATATATGAACTAGACCCTTGCTTCTCACTCCCTTCTAGCTTGCAACCTGTCCTATCATACGTGCTCTATCCACCTTTCAACCAACATCCTAAAATCCTTGCTTTCTTGTTCATCTTATCTTCGAAAACTCCCTTCTCCCATATTCTCGTAGATGCCTATTTCTATGATATTTATGGAGTTTGTAGAACTCTCTAATCTTCATTTTAGATGGGTTGCCCACACCCAAAAATTTGTTGGTCTATAAAGTCACCAAGCCTGCATCATCCTTTAGCTGTCTATTGTCAACTCGGTCCTTGTCTCTTTCAATTTCTATCGACTCAAGTTTACCAACAACTTATTCAAGACATTTCTCTACACGCCTGGGTCTGTGATCCATTTGTTGCTCTAGTTGTTGCTCCAAACATTGCAATGAGTTGCCCCTTTCTTCAAGGGCTCCAATTCCCCAGCCACTACCATGGGAACCATTGCCTTCCCCACTGATAGCCATCCCTGGCTCTGATATCGCCTAACACAACTTAAGCACAAGAAATAAAACACAATCGTGTATTTGAGAGAAATCCCCTTTTTGTAAGTCCTATCTTGTAGGAATTCCTAATTGTATTAGGATACCTTGATTAGTGTAAGACTCTTATAACCGAGTCTTGTGATTTTGTAGAGCTCCCTCCAATGAGCTCTTATCTGCATTCACCAGAGGCTCTTCAAGGTGAGGCAAGAATCACAGCAAGGAAAGGCTTCGGCCATTGAGGAAAGATTTCCTTGTCCATCCACCTGTGATGTGATCCTTGTCTTGGAAACTTAACACTCTTATTATGATCTTCAACCCCTCCCATTTATATACCATAGAAAGGTATTCATTTCTTTCATATCAGGATAATTCATAATGTATGAATGATTAAAGAGATTTGGCTTGGTTGGCTCTGAGTAAGGCCCTCCAACGAAATGTTAGTTCCTTGATTTTTAGTACTGAGCTTGAATGCAACTTATATTTCTTTGAAGATATCTTGGTGGTTGACTTTAACCCTTCAAAAGTTGGGAAAATTTTCTCATGCAAAATTATCACATTTATACAGCATCTACTACACTGCAGACTGTTTGCATATTCACACCCATATATATGCAATGTCATATGCTTCATTACTTGCTTTCATGGCACAAATGCTAAATTCATGACCTCACTACTCTTTTGGCTTTTTTTTTTTTTTTTTTTTTTTTTTTTTACCTCACTTACTCCTTTTGGCTTTTTTTTTTTTTTTTTTTTTTTTTTTTTTTTTTTTTTTTTTTGTGAGCTTACTACTCTCTTTAGATAATCCCCTCTAGTTGAAAGTCCTAATTTTTTTCAACTTTATTAAATTCAGCAATCGAAGTATTAGATTGATTTAGCAGAATCTTACTAGTAATTCGTCTATCTGTTAATATATTGCTTTGTGGTTATACTAGAAAATAGTTTTTAATATAATTAAAGAAGTTTCTAGCACTAGCCACAATTGCATTTCATAGTGGAAGTATAGGCCAAAATTCATTACTTTCATTGATATGCCTATTTGCAAAATTGTAAAAATGTTATGGACTTTTGTGAATAGCCATTTGGGAATTACATTGGAAATTTTGGTTTAATGATATAAATATTTGAAATGTCTGATCCACCAAGAAATTGCTTTTGTGATCTTTGAGGAAGTTGCATAAAGAATTCAACCCGATGGAATCCACGTTAACTTGAAGTTGGTTCTAATGGTAGCAAGTGACACTATTCACAAGTGTTTCACTTTATAACTGTTAAGGATTAGTTGTAAATAGAACTCTATTAGGAGTTGTAAATAGAACTCTATTAGGAGTTAGATTCCTAATAGGTTTATAGTATCTTGTATGTGTATCTTGTATGTGTATATATATTTGGTCCCTATTTGATGAATCAAAAAGAAGAAATGTTTTCCACATAAACAGCATGGGTATCAGAGGCCTGTGGCTCTACATGGTATCAGAGCCTGTGGCTCTTTAAACTTGATTTTTGCCGTTTGCATAGAAAATTCCGGCGTTCCCTCAAAATCTGGTCACCGGATTCCCTGTGTGGTGGCTGTCAGTGTTGCTGACTGTTCTAGGGTCACTGTTTTGTCTCACTGCCCACTCCAGGAGCTGCTCCAGCTGCCGACCGGTCTTACCTCAAAATCCGGTCACTGGATTCCCTGCGCGTGGGCCTCACGCTCCGATATAAGATTCTGCTACAGTACCCCGTGCTGGCTCGTGGCGGCGTATCCGGCTGTTTCCGGCGATCGGAAATTGCTTTCTAGCTTCGTTTTTATGTCAACAGTCTACTCAGGTAGTTGTTTTTCCGATCCGGTGAAGTTTTGGTAGGGGCGTACTCAGTCTGTCAATTTGGCGTTTCAGGTTACCTTTCGCTTCTATTTGCATTGAAAGACTATTTTTTGTGGTGTTTATTTCTACGTTGCTGGTAGGGTGTTTAGTTTTTATTAATAATGGATCCTGAACCTACAGATTCTAAAACTACTATTACTGAATTGATCTCCGCAATGAATAAAGAGCACATAATATAAATTGGAAGGAACTAATTATTTAGATTGGAGTAAGGATTGGAGTAAGACACATCGAAATTTATTTGCGACAGTGTTAGAAAAAGATGATTATCTAATTTGGATGATCCACCAACTGGTGACACTAGGCAACGGTTGGTAGGGGGAAGATGCTAAAGTTAATTTTTCTACTGATCGCAATGCTATTGACAGTGAAGTGGTTGGAATTAATCAATTATTGTGAGTTGTTAAAGAATTAATGGAATATCTGAAATTCTGTCTTTGGGAAAAGGTAATCTATCTCGTAATGTATTGAGGTCTGCAACAGGGAGATTTTATCGGGCTGACCAGCGAGATAAGCCCCTTACAGCTTATTTCATAGAATTTAAAAAGATTTACGAGGAACTTAATGTTTTATTGCCTTTTAGTCCCGATGTTAAGGTTTAACAAACGCAGCGAGAACAAATGGCTGTGATGAGTTTTCTTGCAGGTCTTGCTTCAGTTTTTGAAACTGCCAAATCACAAGTTCTTTCAGGCAGTGATGTTACCTCTCTTCAGGAGACTTTTGCTAGATTGCTACGTTCTCACGAATGAAATGACAATCAATTTCGATATGTTTTGTTCGTTCATGGAATACTAGATTTGATGCAATGTGGAGAGCAGCTTGATTATCACACCATAACTTTGCAGGCAAGGATGACTTGAAGCCAATTTCCTCTAACAACTGACGAATCCAAATTAATTCACAAGCAGATCCAATATTAATATCACAAGCAGATCGTTGCCACTTAGCTCGATATTTTGATTTTAGCATCTCGATTGTGAGACTACATTTTGTTTTTCTCTCACGTATTCAGGTTCTCCACCTACAAAGACCACAATATCCTGAAGTCTTATCTTCTTATCATATCAACTTCGAACTTGCCCATATCTCATTGGTGAAAAAAAATTCAATGTTCAAATGCCTTATTGACATTACTGTTAAAGCAGCCCACGGACCTGGATTTACCTTTCAAGTTAGCACAAATCTTTAATGGGACCTCGGGTTGACATCTTTGTAAACAGTTAAGTTTATGATTAATATCTATGCTCCAATTGAGGGGAGTGTTAAGGATTAGTTTGGTGAAATTCGAACTCTATTAGGAGTTGTAAATAGGAACTCTATTTAGATTAGGAGTTGTAAATAGAACTCTATTAGGAGTTAGATTCCTAATAGGTTTATGGTATCTTGTATGTGTATATATATGTGTCCCTATTGATGAATCAAAAAGAAGAAAATATTTTTCCACATTAAATCTACAATAACCATTAGAGTATAGTATATACACACACACTCACACACACACACACACATATACAAATATATGTATATAGACAGCGTTATAATTATTTAGCTTTGATAAAATATGTTTAATCTGAGAAACAGACAAAGGAAGAAGAATCCTTGTTGCATTGGAGTGAACTTCTTGTTCTTTTCTTTCTTCAATGTCTGCTTATTTTGTCTTTATTATTTCTTCTTAAGCATCTTTATCAAGTGTGGTCTGTATCAAAGAAATATAAACTTCTCACTGATTTATTTACTTATTTTTGGAAACCTAAATCTAATGCAGAATTCTCAACCTTCCACAGTACCACAGCCCAACCTCTAATTGGAGTAACCAGCAGCAGACCAGCAGTGTTGGAAATTTCAGAGGAGATCTTGACAAAATGGCTTCAAAGCAAAGGTGCCAGATCTTTCTTCATCTTTCTTGGATATTAAGTCTAACCTTAGAGAGAAGAGGTCTAGGTATAGGGGAGAGAACTCTCTGTTGCAAGGAATTCGCTTGAACCATGGGGGAGTCTATGTTGGCTCAGTTCGGCTCCCATAATCTTCCTAGTTTCAGGGTAACCATTCAATGCACATACAATGTGGGAGCTTGTGAGGGTGAAAATGTTTTAACTTACATGAGAATTACTGGGTGTTAAAGTCCCAGTCTCGCATTAGAGAAAAAGGTGGTGGATTGGATTATAATATGTGTTAAGTTGTAATTAGGTTTGAAACTTTTGGGATAAGACGTAATCTATTTGCTTAACTTGTCAAAGAATTTTCTATCCCTTTAATTTATGTTTTGGGAAAATGGCCAGATAATCATTATGGAATGAAGTACAAGTGGTTGGTGCAAATACATGTCTAGATGCCCAATGTTCCAAAACACCAGGGAGTATACAAAACCAGGGACGAAGTTACATGGTGAAGGAGAGGGGCAATTGCCCCCCTCCTATTTAAAAAAGAAAATTAATTCCCTTTACAACTATATGATTTGAACTTTAGTCTAGAAGAATTTTTAAGACACCTTTAACCATTTTGCCCTCCTCCTTTTTCTCATAATATTTTTTTAATAAATTTTTATAGTCCCCCTTCTTTATAAATTCTACGTCCTTGGACAAAACATATGAAACTTAATAGGATATTTGGACTAGGCAACATCATTGATGCATCCACCAAAAAATTCTTCATACTTAAATCATTAGCCTCCTACAATATACTAGAGATGAACTTCTAGGCTTTGTTTCGAAAACAGTGCCAAGGAGATTCCTTGCAAACTCTTCTTCCTAACTGTCCGTAAAAATGTAAAATAGTGGGACCATTCCCCTCAAATATTAATAAGCTTAAAATTGGTAGGGAGAAAGAAGTATAAAGGCAGTTGGCACACAAGTCCTTGTGTTGGCAAATAAAATGAATGCATTTATTTTGGTTTGTGTCTCTATACTTATTTTTCTAGAACGATGGAAACTGTTAGAAAGTGAATTCCAATTTTAGAAATTAAAACCCAATCCTATCATTTAACAAATATTTTGAAATCATTATTAAACTTGCTCTCTCTTCCCCCCACCCACAACCCCATTCCCCCCCCCCCCCAATCCTATCATTTAACAAAAATATTTTGGATAATCATTATATGAAACTTGCTCTTTCTCTTCCCCCCACCCACAAACCCCATTTTCAACCCCCCCTCCCTCCCTGGCAACTTATAACTTGCAGAATGATTCAATTGTAGGAGATGCCCCCCCCCTCCCTGGCATTATAACTTGCAGAAGATTCAATAGTAGGGATGGCATAAGTCGGGTGTGGGATGGGTTTTGGAAAATCCATAATTGGCCTGCTAAAAAATAATATTACCTGCCCTGCCATCCTCCATAATTCAGGTTCGGGTGGATCAGGCAGGTATAACCTGTTCTTGAAATTTCTCCTTTATTTTTTGAATATGTTCAACATTTTTTCTTTTTTTTTTTTTTTATTGTTTCTGGATGCATATTAAGACTATTTATATATTATGTTTAATATGTTTATATCATATATATTAAGATGAAAGTAATAAATTGAAACCCTTGTAACAACAATAAACTGAAAATAATATGATAATACGTATATGGGTTGGGTTCGAGCCAGATGCCCTCATTATCCACTCTGACCTGAACCCATGGTAAGAAATAAAACACCTGCCCCACTCCATTTACTAAACAGGGCAGCAAACTAGCCATCCCTTCTTAAAAAGAAAGAAGAAAAATAAATAAGAAAAGTGATTTTTATGAAAAGAAGTGTGAAAGTTTCATGATCTGTCACAGCAGTATGATATGTTCATAAGTTACGTTGTTAAAAGTCAACCTTTTCACTCATTCTTCATTCTTTATAGGATGAAAACTGACTTGAGATTAGTATTACTTATCTTTTAATCTTTAATATTATTTAGGCCTTTAAGAAATATTTTGTTAAAATTTAATTTAGTAATAATTCCTGCAGCCATGCGAAGCTATTGCAGCTTGTTTATCACTAAAATTATATGTTAACCATAAAACAGAAAACAATAAATCAAACTTAAAATGATTTAATGGGTTTCTTTGCTCAACTAACTGTTTATTGTTACTTTTGCATAGACAATTGAGAAAAAGAGAGGGTTTGAAGCAATTTTCTTCTTAATTATTCCGTCAAGTACATTAGGTTTAAATACATCAAGAATTAACACATCCTAGTCCAATAGGATTCCTAACTCTAATAGGATACCGAACAATCAATACAAAATATTCTCATATATCTACAATATAATCTAACCCTCCCCCTCAAGCTAGAGCGTACATATCATAAGCTCCTAGCTTGTTACAAATATAATCAATCCGAGGACCTTATGGGATTTGGTGAGAATATCTGCCAACTGATCATTTGAATTAATGAAGGATGTGAGAATACAACCTGACTGAATCTTTTGCCTAATAAAGTGACAATCTATCTCTATATGCTTTGTTCTTTCATAGAACATTGGATTTGAGGCAATATGCAATGCTGCCTGATTATCACAGATTAGCTTCATTTGTTTCACTTCGCCACAGTGCATCTCCTGAAGAAGTTGTTTCAGCCAAATAAGTTCACATGGAGCCAATGCTATAGCTCGATATTCCACTTCTGCACTTGACCTAGCCACAACATCCTGCTTTTTACTCTTCTAGGATATTAAATTTTCGCCAATCATAACACAATAGCCTGAAGTGGACCGTCTATCAGATAGAGAACCTGCCAATTTGCATCAGAGTAGCCAACTACTTGTGTATGATCTCTGTCTTCATATAACAAACCTTGTCCAGGAGCACCTCTGATATACCTTAGAATGCAAACAACAACATCCCAATGGGTATCACACGGGGATTGGAGAAACTGGCTAACTACACTAATTGCAAAAGAAGTATCCGGTCGTGTGATTGTGAGATAATTAAGCTTACCAACAAGCCTTCTGTATCTACCAGGGTCTTTAAATGGCTCCCTTGTCTTGGAACAAGTTTCACATTGGAATCCATGCGAGTATCCACAGGTTTGCAGTCTACCATGCCAGTTTCTTCTAGTATATCCAGTGCATATTTCCTCTGTGAAATTGCAACACCTATCTTGGATTGAGCTACATCTATTCCCAGAAAGTATTTCAGTTTTCCCAAGTCCTTGGTTTGAAAGTGGCTAAACAATTGCTCCTAAAGGTGAGAGATCCCTTCATGATCTTTGCCCGTCATGACAATTTCATCAACATAAACCACCAAATAAATGCATTTACCATGATCTCCATGTTAATAAAAAACTGAATGATCAGCCTCATTTCGACTCATGCCAAACTGTTGAACAACAGTACTAAATCTTCCAAACCACGAACGTAGAGGTTGTTTCAAGCCATACAAATATCGTCGTAGTCGACATACCAAACCAGACTCCCCTTGAGCAACAAAAACAGGTGGTTGCTCCATATATACTTCCTCAGCCAACTCCCCATGCAAGAGCATTTTTAATATCAAGTTGATAAAAAGGCCAATGGTAAATAGCTGCGAAAGAAAGAAAAAGTCGAACCGAAGCAATCTTTGTGACTAGTAAGACCATAAATTTGAGTGTACCCCTTGGCAACAAGTCTTGCTTTCAAACGGTCAATTTTGCCATCAAGACCAACTTTGACAGTGTAAACCCAACGACATCCAACAGTAATTTTGTAGGAGGCAATTGAACAAGTTCCCAGGTGCCATTATTGTGAAGAGCAGTCATCTCTTCAGTCATAGCTGTAGACTAAGCAGGATGTACAAGTGCTTCACTGACATTCTTGGGTGTAGAAACATTAGACAAGGTAGAGACAAAGGCATAATAGGAACAAGATAAATGACGATAGCTCAAGAAGTTATAAATAGGATGAGTGTTTCGAGTAAAATGAATAACTTTTCGAAGAGCAAGGGGAGGAGTAGCTGCCTCTGTGATTGGCATGACCGGTGTAGGAGAGGAGTCACCAGGCGCTGTACCTGTATCCAAAGGAAGGTTAGTATTAGGACGATGAGAATAGAACTGAAGTGGTCAAGATGGAGCTACAGTTGGAAGAATAGGAATTGGAAGGACAGCAAAAACTGAGTGTTGATGAGTTGGTTGCTTAGGAAAGTAAGGAGTCGTCTCAAAAAAGGTAACATCTGCAGAGATAAAAAACTTAGAGGAAATAGGGTCATAACATTTATATCCCTTTTGTAGATGAGAATATCCTAAGAAGACACACTTGATTGACTTGGGCTGAAGTTTGTCTTTCCCAGGAGTATGATCTTGGACAAAACAAGTACAACCGAAGATTCGAAGAGGAAGACTAAAAGGATCCTATGAAGGAAAACAAAAGAGAATATGGACTCTGATTTTGTAAAACAAACGAAGGCATCCTATTAATAAGAAAACAAGAAGTGAGAAAAACATCTCCCAAAAAGGAAATGGAACACGATGATGAAGAAGTAAAGTACGAGCTGTTTAAATGAAGTGATGATTCTTTCGCTCGGCTACTCCATTTTGTTGGGGTGTGTAGGCATAGGAAGATTGATGAAGAATACTTTGAGAAGGCATGAACTCGTTAAATGATTGAGAAAAATATTCTCGAGCATTATCACTGCGCAATGTTTTAATAGAGGTACCAAATTGATTTTGAGTTTTAGCACAAAATTTTTGAAAGATAAGAGAACAATTTAGAACGATTCATCATTAAAAATAACCAAGTACAACGGGAGTAGTCATCAGTGAAAGTAACAAAATAATTTAATCCCAAAGTTGTACTAACACAACTAGGACCCCAAACATCCGAACGAACAATGTCAAACATAGAAGAGGCCTTTTTATTGACACGCTTAGGAAAATGAACACGAGACTGTTTCCCAAGTTGACAGGACTCATATTCTAAAACATTTAAGGAAGATAAACTAGGAACTAAATATTGAAGTTTGGTAGGGATAGGATGGCCAAGTCAATTGTGAAGAAGTTTAGGAGAAGCAAAAGCAACAGTGGAATTGGGAGTGGAGAGGTAGTACAGCCCTTGCGACTCATATCCTACTCCAATCATCTTCCTCGGACGACAATCTTGCACAAATACATAGTCAGCTATAAAGGACACAATGCAAGTAAGTTGTTTGGTCAGTTTACTAATGGAGATTAAATTATAAGGACATACAAGAGTAAACAGGACTGAGGTCAAGGGCATTGAAGAAGTGAGATGGGCTTCCCCAATACCTTGAATCTCAATGTAACTGTTGATGAGGTTAGAGAAGGGATGATAGTAGAGAAAAGTGTTTCATTACCAGAGATATGATCAGAGGCACTAGAATCAAGAACCCACGGATCATGAGTTGGGGTCTGAGTCAAACAAGCAACCGAAGTGCTAGACTGGGATACAGAAGATGACTGTTGTAGTGCTTGTTGTTTGGCAGCCTGAAAGTGCACATATTCATTATAATCGAATCCCGTCAAAGTTATTGAATTACCTGATGGACCAGGCAAGGGAAAAATTCCAGCTCCATTATTTTGAACCAAATAAGCAACAGGTCGACCAACACTAGTAGACTGGTGATGAGGTGGTTTACCATGCAATATCCAACAAGTTTCCCGAGTATGACGGGACTTGTCAAAATGTCTACAGCGTTTAGATTTATTACCTTTCTACTTTCAATTACCAGTTTGTATCGCAAACATAGAGGCTTCAATATTATTAGGTGGTGGAGCTGGAGTAACAGAGATGCAAAGAAGACGAGCAGAGATGTCTTCCAAAGTGGGAACAGTAGAACCTGTCAGTATTTGATCTCGAACTGAACTAAGATCGGTTAAAGACCTATGAGCGCCAAGACCATGAAGAATTTATTCCGTTGTTGTTCTTGTGTAGTGATACTTTCTGAGAATGGCATAATTGAATTGAACTCATTCATTAATGTTTCAACCTGTCCAAGATAACTAGCCATATCCTGTTGATTTTGCTGCAGATTGACAATATCAAAGACAACTTTGTATACTCGTTGTATGTCGTTGATATATAATGTCTTGGCTTTGGTCCAGACCTTACAACAGGTTTTATATGATTGGAATAAAAGAAAGTAGTTTGGGATCAAGAGAGTGCCACAGCAGACTACACAATTGGGTCCAGACCATGTTGCCTTATTTTTTTCTCCAATATAAGTGATAGTTTTAGTTAAATGATCATCATATCCTTGTCCCACAAACCATAGTTCAACCGAAGAGGACCAAGAAATATGATTGCTACTGCCTAGGAGTTTCACAGTAGTAATAATAGTGGAATTGGAAAAGAGGGGCTTAATGAGGGTAGATTCAGCCACGTTGTCCTAATTATTGCAGAAAAATTAGGAATTTTGTACCTTTTTACCCTACTGTCAGAACCTCAGCTTTGAAAAGAGAGAACCAGACCTATCGTGTAGGCTCTGATACCATGAGAAAAAGAGAGGGTTTGAAGCAATTTTCTTCTTAATTGTTCCTTCAAACACATTAGGTTTAAGTACACCAAGAATTAACACATCCTAGCTCTAATAGGATTCCTAACTCTAATAGGATATTGTACAATCAATACAAAATATTCTCACATATCTACAATATATTCTAACAACAATGTTGATATGGTAAATGAACATGTTTTACAAGGTTGAGTGACATAAGGCCTATGTCCTTAAAGTATTATCATTTGAATGACACAGAAGCAGATTGACAATTCTGTAAATTCTCCCACTTGAATTTTCCTGTCTGATATTTCTTACAGGACATTGGCCCTAGGGATACAAAACACAAAAATTAAATATGCCAAATTCACCAATTCTTAATTGTTTATTTTGAATTTCTAGGTCCAACTGGAAACCTCCCGTGGGCAAAGGAAATAGAAGAGAGAGCAGAAAACGTGCTCATACTGAAGATGATGAATTGGATCCTATGGACCCAAGTTCTTATTCAGATGCTCCCCGTGGTGGCTGGTATGTGCTGCCTATTTTGGCTTAATTGCAGCAATAGTCGCTAAACTTATCACTGAATTTTGGTGCAGTAACTGAAAACATTGATTTCATTTCAATAGAATTGCTAGGCCTGATTTTATTGCCAATATACCCAATTTTTTTTATGTGCCACTTAATAAAGTCATATACCCATTTTTTATTTTAGATTGCAAAAAGAAGTTGATACCTCTTTTGTACCCACTAGATTGCAAAAGTTTTACTCTTATCATATAAATACCTTGTTGAAGTCCTGCCAAAATCTACCAATGTCAAGCTTAGTAACATACAGTTCAAGTTGAAATATAGGTTTAATCACTGTACTGAAAATTAGTGAACGAGTTTTAAATGACCATGATTGAAAATAAATTTACATGTTTTATTTGAAATCGTATGATGAAATGCTAGTTTCTGGTTCCTCTGATATCTCTTGAAATTGAACTGTTCATATTTCACAAAAGACAAAGTAACCATGAGAAGTCTGCAAGTGATTGTTATTAACTTCATATGATGCTGATTCTGCAGGGTTGTTGGCCTGAAAGGAGTACAGCCACGAGCAGCTGATACCACTGCTACGGTATACTACTGCTCTGAGTCAAAATTACTGTCCTATGTTATCTATCTTAATACGTGTGACAAACATGATCATAAAATTGAGTTAACATGGTAATGGGGTAAGCGTCAGACTTGTCCTTTCCTGAACCCTCCTTGCACAAAACATGATCTTCCTTGGTAGTCATATCAAGCTGGAAATACAAAACCTGGATGCCTATAATTATTTTATTTCTGCACCTACATCCTGATTAGCATCACATGGGAGACCTTGTCAGAAGGATGGCTATCCCTAGATCAGCTCAATTTGAATTGAACAATACTTTGTTTCTTTATGCTGTATAACCATTTTCAATTTTATTAATTTGCTGATGTTTGCCTGTGCTATTGCTTTCCCGGACCTATTAAATTTTGGAAAAACTAGGAGTGGCAGGTGTATGGAGGGTTGTGGTGGTTTGTTTAACAGAAATTAGGCACTGCTGATATGTCCAAGCTTAGTGAAGGTTTTACTGAGATGAGATGAAATGAGGACTGGAACCATTTTATAATTCACGCTTACAGTTATTTAATCTTCTGCTTGTGAAGTAAGAAGGCTTGTTTAAATTTAGCATCATATTATCGAAAGATTGTCCTGCTAAATGTCCCCTACCATCATCTTGACTTAAAAGTGCATTTGAATATTCAAATGTTGTACATCTTGTAAAGGATTATCTCAGAATACTTGGAAAAATGATTGTGCAATACTTTCATGCTCACCGCTCCTCTAGACATGCAGTCGTACTTATGAGTGTGCAATATCAAATTCATTGTTTGTCATGCATCATATGGTTTGCTTGTTTTTCGGAATTGTCAGGGTCCTCTATTTCAACAGCGGCCATACCCATCCCCCGGAGCTGTCTTGCGGAAGAATGCTGAAATCGCTTCACAAACCAAGAAATTTAGTTCTCATTATGCACCCATCTCAAAGAAAGGGGACGGTAGTGATGGCCTTGGTGATGCTGACTGATGTTCCAATGGTAGATGGTTCTTTTAGAGCAAGGACTAACAGCGACTTAATGCAAAGGAGGTTATTGCAGTTGTCGAAAGGGGACAAATTGGCTTCAGGCGCTTTGGATTCTTCATCATGTGCGATATTGGTGGTCCACAAAACTTCCTTCCAACAGGCAAAGTTGAGACTTGTATGACAGGACCGGAATACTTCTGAAAAGATTGAAAAGTAAATAATCTATTTAAGAGAAGGAAATGTAATACCGGTGTTATGTTCATGACTATTGAACTTTAATTTTGACAATTTGGAATGGACTCGTATTCTACAGTTTGCAGAGGGTTCATTCATTTTCTTGGTAGTGATTTGCTCCATTCTTTTTCTCTCTTCTAGTGTTATTTGCATTTGTTTAGCATTTGATTCAGTGACTACACGATGGTGTACAAGTATTCGAATTGATATCAACCCACATGATCACTTGTGGAGGTTCAACTAGTTGAATAAGAAAAGAGGGCTATTGTAGGATGTCAGTATTTGAAACTTTACTTTAAAAAATGTCAGTTTGACCTAAACTATTAAAATAATGTCAATTTTATTATTCATCTACCTAATTGCCCTTTTACCTAACGTCACTTCTATATATGTTTGGATGTCTTTTAACCGATTTTCTTCTTTTTCTTTTTCTTCTTTTTCAATGGCATGCATGAACTCTGCATGCAGTGTTCAAGACTGGTGTGAGTCACCGCATTATGTAGGATCATGTAGGATCGGTGTGAGGTCCTCACTATAAAATCGATTTCATTTATGTTCTTATAATATTTCGTTTTCATTTTCATTTCTATTTTTATTTATTTATTTTCATTATGTAGGATCATATTCGTTTTCATTTTTATTTATTTTCTTCACTGGAAAATCGACTTCGATTCTATGATTTTGTTTTCGTTTTCATTCTCATTCTCACTTCTTTCTGTTTTTCTTTTTCTTTCTATATTTGATTCCATTTAAATTTGGTTCTTCTCAAGCTATTTTACAGTCCATTTGTTTTTTTTTTTTATCCTTCTCTATTGGAATTGGCTGCTATTTCAGGCGCTTGTAGATTTATAGATTCCAGTTGAGTTGTCTTGTTGATTATTGTATGATTGAATTATACATAAACTATATTTATTTGGTTTCGTTTAATGTGTTAAATTGATATTTTCCTTTCACTGGAAAATCGACTTCGATTCTATGATTTTGTTTTTCGGTTTTCAAATTCTCATTCTCACTTTCTTTCTGTTTTTTCTTTTTCTTTCTATAATTTGATTCATTTAAACTTTGTGTTCGTCTTCAAGCTATTTTTACAGTCCATTTGTTTTTTTTTTTTAAATCCTTCTCTTAATTGAATTGGCTGCTCTATCTTCAGGGCGCTTGTAAGATTTAATAATTCCAGTTGAGAATTGTCTTGTTGATTATTTGTATGATTGAATTTTACAATAAACTAATATTTATTTGGTTTCGTTTAATGTGTTAAATTGATTATATATATATATATATATATATTAATTATATATTTACTATATATATATATAGTTCCACTTGAATGCGGAAAATCTGTATTTTTTTTTTATTTATGTTAATTATGGAACGAAATCAAAAAAATTTGTTTTCTTTTTCGTAATTTATTTTCTATTCTGTTTTTTTTATTTTTCTTACGTTAATTTTTTTTTTTTTTTTTTTTTTTTTTTTTTTTTTTTTTTTTTTTTTTTTTTTTTTTTTTTTTTTTTTTTTTTTGTGTGTGAAGCTGTATTTGTGTGTGTATTTGAGAGGATTCATTAAAGTTATTTTGGGGTTATTATTCTATTTTTGACCAAAAATGATATTCTCTTAATTTAAAAATTTCCTGACATTTCGTTAATATTAAACCTTAATTTTTGATATTTAAGAAATACATCACATGATTTAAGTAGCTTTCCTCCGTGCAGTAAAAGATTGATATATCTAATGGCTACTTGAACCAGAATATCAAAGAAGTACATTAGGGTATATGTTTATACCTGCCCACTTGCAAGGCCAAATGGTACACAAGTAGTCCAAATGCTAAGCTCATGAAGAAAGATGACAAGACCAAGCAAGAGGGCCACTTGGGCCTAAATGTATAAGTTCTATATATATTATAGAAATTATAAATACTGTAAAAATGACAGGATTGTATAGAGCAGAATATTCAGTTTTCTTAGAGTGGATTTCTCAAACTTCTATAAGTAGGAGTTATAAATGTAGATAACATGAAATCCAAGACATGCAAATTTGAATGCATTAACATTACTCTTTCACCTTTTTTAACCCCAATTTCTTTATTTTTCTCTCTATCTTCTCACTAGTTCTTTTTCGCTCATGACTCTCTTTATCTTTACCTTTTTTTTTCCCTAGCGGCCCACTACTTAATAATGCATACCCTATCCTAAACAACCCTTCATGCACCTAAGGCAAGTCTGACAAATGCAAGACCCAAACACTTTTAAACTAAACAATTCTCCTGGCACGCTTGTTACAACTAGGGTTTTGTTAAGGTATTAGGATGCCACTTAATTTGACTTATAGATCGATCGCGAAGGATAAGGTAACCATGACAAACGCCTTGATCACTCGGATATCTATTATTTTGAGAAACCAAGTCAATGACTCCCTGAGGACAAAGGATTTTTCAATGACTAAAAAACTAAAGATTGGCTTGTTTATTTTGCAAATGAGTTATTTTAAAGAGAAAACAAGTCTTATTTTGGTAAGAGCTTTAATTTAGAGAAAACATTACGAATTTATCATTTATTTAGGTGCGGTCATGGGAAGGTATTAGGTACCTGAACCGCTCGGTTATAAACTGACCTCATTTGTTGTCCATTCATTCACAATTTTTGATAATATGGCTAACTTTAATTGAGATGCAAAACATGTTTTTTATGCATGTTTTGAAATCATGACAAACAAGCATATTAATATCCAAACATAACATGCTAATCAAGTAAAGAAAGGGAGGGAGAAGAAAAGAGTACAACCCAATGGCCTAATTTACAATCTACCCTTTAACCCATTTAAATTTTCCAATCCATTAATTTATTAATAGGACCTATTAATCCTTTACATAATGTCCAAATAATTTGAAAGCAATAAATACTAAAAGAAACAAAACACAAGCAAATACTATTATTCACAGAACATTAATCATAGCAACACTCAATCATGATAATTAATATAATGCTAATATGAATTGTTAGAATGAGCATAAACGTAAAATGCTTAAAAATGTAAATGACAGAAATTTAAAGTGCATAATTAAAAGGCATTATTTAAAAGTTAAAAACAAGATTTAGGTTCAAGACTTTGATGTTCATAATGGGTGATGAACAAATATCACTATCACCACCTATTTCTTATTTTTTATTTTGTTATTTAGGAAATAGATGAGTTTTAATTGCATTCTAAGCAAAATGGTTAGTGCCAAACTCGAATGGATCCCGAATCAAGTTTATTTTATTGCAGTAAAGGATTTGGGAATTGAAACGAAGAGTCGTGTGCCACACGTAGTGGGCTGTGGGTCTTGCCCTGATTAGAAGCCTAGAAGCAAGTTTATTATTTTGTTTGGCTGGCCTCAGTGGTGTAAGTCATACATAATGGCGTGGCGCCATTACCCTGTGGCGTGCACCACTTATAGCACAGTCAGAAGAACTTGGTTGGTCACAGTTTTCCTTACAACCAATATAAAGGTGGTGTTTTTATTGCACCAAAAGATGAAAATGATGGAGTAAATGAGGGGAGACTGACGCGGAACCCAATGAAAATAAATTTCATGAACTCAATGACAAGTTTTGGAAGAGATCAAAGATCTAGAATAAACTCCCCTCTATGGCAAAAGCCTAGAAGCAAGTTTATTAATATTTTTGTTTGGAAAATGGCTCATTGGTGTAAGTCCTCACAGTAATGGCGTGGCGGCCATTACCCAATGCGTGGCGTGCAAACCACTTTATTAGCACAGTCTCAGAAGAACATTGGTTGGTCACAGTTTCCTTACAAACCAAATTATTAAAGGTGGTGTTTTTTTATTGCACCCACAACAAGATGAAAATTGATGGAGTAAAATGAGGGGAGACTGACGCGGAACCCAATGAAAATAAATTTATGAACTCAATGACAAAGTTTGAAGAGATCAAAGATCTAAATAAACTCCCCCTCTATGGCACCCAAAGCTTAAAGAAGCAAGAACACCAATAATAGAGTAAAAAGAATAAGATAAACACCACAAAAAATTGATAAGTTTACCTTGATTCTTGATGCAATTAGAAGAATGCAATCTCACACCCTCTAAAGCAAGAACACGCATAAGCATGAAAGAAGAAACTCTCTTTGATTAATTGATTGAATAATGTGTCCAATAATTATAAAATAACAAGCTATTTATACTAATCTAAGAGGTCCAGATCCTTAAAGGATTTAGAGTTAGCTAAGGATTAGGATTTAGCAAATCTAATAATAAAATCATAACAAAACTTAAGGATTTGGAGATCTAATCAAAAATCCACTAAAGATTGACTAAATCTAATCAAAATAAGCCTAAAACTAATCAAGTTCGAAAAAATGGAGCCCCAACCCATTAGTGCGCAGAGATTCAAAATGAACTTCAATAAAGCTAACTAACTTAATGACTAGCAGGGGACAAGCACGCCTGGGTGTGCATTTGCACGCGTGCTCAATGTAGAGTTCCCTCATTGAGGTCAGAGGAAGCACGCCTGGTGTGCTATTTGACGGGGTGCTTCAAAGTCAGAGGGAAACACGAACCTAAGTATTGCTATTTGGCCGGAATATACGAAGTCAAGCGAGGGAACACGGCCTGTGTGTCTATTTGGCACGGCCGGGATGCTTCAAGGTAGTTTTTCCTCAGCAAGTCAGACGACGGGCACTGTCGCGGGTGTGCCATCTACACGGCGTCGCCTAAACCAAGCATGGTCTAGGCCATGTCTTGCTGTTGAAATTTCAGTTCCCAAACTCAAACATGTGCTTCCATCAATTGAGAAAACTGAGATGTTCTCCCATAGCTTCCTTGACTTTATGTTTGATGTACCATTTCGTATCATTCCCCCTTTCCTCAAAAAGATTCGGCCTCGGATCTTTAGTAGAAGTTGACAGCGTTA